GTCATCCCCCTTGACAGTGAACGGTGTGCCTATTCAGAAAGGTGATAGCCACTGTCATCTCGGCGTGACTATCACTCCTTCACTAAATTTTTCTGACCATATAAAATCTATCACCCATAAGTTTCGCAGTCGTGTTTTTCTGTTGCGCCATATGGCCCATTTCCTTTCTGCTTCAACCGTGAATTTGCTCTACAAGTGTTACGTACGACCACTGTTAGAATACGCAGTCCCTGTCTGGTCATTCGCCGTATCCCATTCAGATTCGCTTACGTTAGACCGACTGCAAGCCGTTGCTGCTCGTTCATATCTGCTTTGTAAGTCCCGGCACCCTCATGAGTGGGAAACCCCGAAGTAGATTCTTAATCGTGCTTGTGACTGGTCATCCCTGAAGTGGCGTCGTCAGATTCTATCCTTGCTGTATTTTCATCATGTCTTTTACCAGTTTCCGTCTTTGCTAATTCGTTTCAAATTCAATGTATCCCTTAGTTGTCGTCACCCGTCCTCTATAGTTTTACCTCGTTCTGGCGCCCATTTCCTTAAATCCCCTCTCTTCAGTTTATCTGTGGAATGGAACAAACTTCCAGAACACATCCGCTGCGTTCAGTCCTCTGTCAATTTTCGCATTGCTCTAAAGGCTCATTACTCACAGCATAGATATTCTCTGACTGGAATTCCGAACTTTTCCGTTTGAGAATTTTTTTCCTTGAAATTAATCCTTGCTGGGGTTTTTTTCATCTAAATGTCCCGCTATTATCTGCAGAGGTGATTTCTTCCCTCGTCGATTTCTTTCCTGCTTTTATTCCTCGATATTTAGGTACTTGTTTCCCTTCTTCCCATGCTTCATCTTCCACTCTCCTCTCCCCCATTTCCCCATTTTTCTTGCGATATTTATGTGGGAGACTTCCGTGATAAGCATCCATTTGCTTTTGGAGAATCCTTTTAAATAAATACAATACAAAAACCGAAGACCAATCACACTGTGCACGGACACCATTCTCCTACCCCCGAAGTATGACTTAATGCACCAATTAGGTCCCGGCGGATAATGCTGGAGAATTTGTGGATTCTGCTTTTCAATATACTCGCACTCTGCTCCAAAAAAGCACTGATAATGCTTGAATTCTGAATATACAAGATCCACAGAATTATTATTACTCAGCAGGCAAAGGCGTGGTAGCTGGTAGAAAAAACCCCGAACATGATTGTTATACGTAACTATTATGTTGGCATCAAAATTTATATATTTGTTCTATTTATCGCATGATTGTACTCGGCTCACACACATGTACATGTACATGTGTGTAATAAGCTGGGCCGCAAGTCACACAATCATCATGCCACCTAGCGCCTGTGTTTGGACCACAAGCATGGCATAGGGGATACACTCATGTATTCATGTACATGTACATGAACAGCGCCGCGTCGCTTCACTGTACACAAATGCATGCAATGCACGTACACTTCTTTTTTTGGATGGCTTTTTTATTTTTTTCGCCCTCCGGCTCCCTCATTGATTTCATCGAATAAGGTGACGCGTAACATAGAAAAAAACGGCGTGGCCTTAGTTAGTTTTCTGCCAAACGTACGGGATTATGCTAGCGTAATGCTAGTTTCCAGAATGTGCTCAATATGCTAGATATAATGTTAGCAATATCCGCTGGGGCCTAGCACCAATCCTTCAGCCTAACTACTTGGTGCGGGATCACCCGGGCTATACTAGCAGCCTGCATGACACACCACCCTTTCCGTCCTTGCCATAAGTCTCTACCGGCATTGACTCGATTGTAAATACAGAACTCGTACATCAAGATGTGTTTGCGCCTCCGGGTGATAGTAATTTGATGGCAGCACCAGAGCTGCCTTTAGTGCATGTGTGCGTGTTTTTTCTTGATATTTACCCTATGCTGGTGTCTTTGTTTGAGGTTTATGAAGTTGACGAAAAATTGGTAGCAAAGAAAACGTAGGTTTTTGTTGTTAGGCGGGAGATCGGGAGAGGTTTCAAAAACATCAAAAAATCGGGAGATCTTCTGGCTGATCGGGAGATTTGGAACCCCTACCAATGTCGATGGTGTCCTTTTTTGCGACCTCTTTATACTCCGCTCTTCAGCACCTAATACCTTACAATGTCGGGATTGCATTCACTCCCCCAATAGCTTAGTTCTATCCTGCGATTTTCATTCACGCTACGGTCTGTTTTATCTTTCTTATTTGGCTGAAGACAGATAAAATAGAAATCCATCTGATATTCGCACTGCTGCATCCCCATTGCTATTTCGACATGCATTATTTCGTAGAGTACCGATACATACTGTAACGATATCACGGCCATTCGTACCCAGGGGCGCAGGACACAGGAGACAAGCACTCGTTTGTTTGCATCAACGTATTTGAACAAAGGACATGACGGGATACCAGTGACAAAAACTCCACTGGAAGGAACAAAAAGACTGAAAAAGACAAAACTGAAGACTCAAAAATCACGAATGCTCATATAACGCATTTATGGGAGGCAATAGACAGTTTGGGGAATGTCATCATGCAGAAAAACAACACATCGTTCTACATCGCCTGCCACCTTGATGACATTCTAAAAATCAGTACACGGAACAAACGAACACCACGTTCCACATGGACAACACTCAACAGTCACATGTAGCAAAAGAAACCACAGCAAAAGAGAAAAACCACAAACGAGCCAGCTGACATTGTACCAAAACAAGCCAAAACTCTATGCTATTTTGTATCATATAAATCAATGAAGTGAGGGTTTTTGATCGCGGAGGGTGGAGGGATGTCTGCACCGGCAAATGCATTTTTAGGCAAGTACGAATACACGTGCATGTATGGCGGTCTGGGTGTGGCACCATATTTTGGAAGTTGAGGGTATGAAACGTACATACCCAAAATTAATAGTAGTACTGAAGGCACACACACACGCACACATGTCAGATTCTTCTATTGCTCATATTCGGCACAGTGCGCCCCAGTGTGAAAAGCATGCCCCTGCCCATAATTGGAATTAATCTCACGTAAACGGAAACTTCTTTCGCTGGTATCTTCTTATTTGCTGCTCCTGCCGACATTGTTGTTTTTGAACTGGTGATGCGGGAGCAATAGTGCACTGTCTGTTAGTTGCATCCACTGGGAGGTTTGGTTTGCTTCTCAATATTCGCCTTGTGGCTACGCACATGGCGGTTGCGATTGCCGGATTGTGAGAATGCCTGTTCACAGCCCGGCATAGTGCACTTGTATGGTTTCTCGCCTGTATGCGTTCTCGTGTGTTTGCTTAGTGCTGATTGGTCATAAAAACGTGAGTTGCATCTGTCGCAATGATATGGCTTCTCCCTGGTGTGTTTCCGGATGTGCAAAGTTAGACTATTTTTCTGCGAGAAGGCTTGTCCACACTCTGTGCAACGATGTGGCTTCTTGCCAGTGTGCACTGTCATGTGTCTTTTGAGCTGCGACGGATACGAGAAACCCCTTTTGCATTCCGGGCAGACTCGTTTGGCTTTGGCAATTTTTTCAGGTTCATTAGTCGACGGCTGCTGTCCAAGTACGTTACTCGGTGGTAGTGGCTCGCTGAGGTCATGGTGATGCGGTGGCATTACCTGCAGCCTGGGAATATGTGGTGGCTTGTGATGTTGTTGTTGTCGTTGTTGTTGTTGTAGGCCCCTTGCTAGTGATGGTGATAGCAACACATCAATACCACACGATGGCGCGAAAACATCATGGTTTAATACTGTATTTACATCAGAGCGCATGGCCGTAGAGACTTTTGGCAGGTAGGGAAAGTTTGCTGCATCACTCCAGCTGTTGGGTAGGTTAGGCTGAAGGAGTGGCTCCGCCGGACCTGGGTTTAAGGAGAATGGTGTTGCTGAGTTATCAGGTTCTTGCATTGACGGCTGCTGCCCGAGTAAGGTGCTCTGTGGAAATGGCTCACTAAGGTCGTGACGACGATTTGGTTGCATTTCTGGTAAACTTGGAATATGTTGTCGTCCTTGCCTTGACACTGCGATCGCATTCATGTCACCAGTAGGCGCAAACACATCATGAGGGAATCCTATATTTCCAAATGAGCTGACGCCTTTAGAAAATTGTGGCGGGAACGGAAAGAGTGCTGCATCACTCAAGCTGTTGGAAGTATGCTGGTTATTCGGCATTAGGCTATGTGGAAGGGTCGGTGCCGTCTGACCATGGTGGAAGGAGAATGTTGTCGCTGGGTTTTCAGGTTCTTTCATTGACGGCTGCTTTCCGAATACGTTACTCTGTGGTAGCGACTGGTGGAAGTCGTGTGGACTTGGTGGCAAGTCAAGTAAGCCGGCACTATTTGGCGGCTGCAGATGCTGTCGTCCTGACTGTAAGGCCATTGCTGGCGCTTGTGCTGCCGTCAACTTACTATCACCCAAATGCGCAAACGCATCATGATGTACGAGTCGTGTGTTCATATTGGATCCCATGCCCGTAAAGACTTCTGGCAAGGAGGACAAAAGTACTCCATCAAACAAGTTGTCATAGTGCTCGTGATCCTTGAGCTGAAGATTTGGTGCCGCCAAACCTTGTAGGTAGGAGAATGGTGTCGATGCGCTTCGTGATTGGTCTTGTGGAACCAAAGCGTCGTGAGCATAGGGGTTTGAAGCTACACCACTCTGACTGAGTTGATCAAAGGTAAACTGACTCATCCTGCTTGCGTTGCTATTGTCAATGGCAAAGACTAAAATTCATAAGTCGGCACAGAAACAAATTGGAGAGGTTCTGAACAAGGGTTGCAGTGAATAGGCATGAATCTGGGTGGTGGTACGAGTTAATAGGGAGTTGATGGTAATGAGATTCGATTTTGAGGTGTAGGTGGGAATGTCTCTCTGTTAGTGGTGCTGGAGTTATGCAATGTTAGTGCTGCGGGTCGATACAAGTGAGAAAGAGGAAATTGTTAGGGGTGTAGGTGCGTAGTCTAACCATATGTGTTGGTGTGCGTGGAAGATAGACGTTGCAAATGTGGCAAGTCATGCTCGATAGGATAGGTGTGTCAGGGTGATGGTGTGCTGCAGTAGTCTGCCATCAGCTGAAGGCGGTTGAGTTGTGGTAATGTGGGCTAAAATCAAGAGTCTGTGATCTAAAGTAGAAGAGTGTGTAATGTGAGTGTGCATGCACTTGGGGGGGGGGGGGGCTTCTTTATAAGCATACTCTTTGAGGTGTCGTTCGGTTGCTTCTTGCCATAATTCACACTGAAAGTATCTCCTGTTTTAGGATGGTATGTCAGCACACACATGCACAGTTATCTGCCAACCTGTGCAGTTTTCTACCTGAAGAGTTGAGGTATTACTCTCGACATAACGCTAGGTGACATTCCAGAGGTCCTGAAAAACGAGGAATGCGTGCAAATTTTCGCTCTACGTCGAATGAAGTGGGATACTTCGCACGGACTGTCGCAACTTTGTACTCGCAACTTGCATTTGTTGTCTTGGTGGTATGACTAGTAAGCTGGATTTATGTGGCGACTGGATATTATGTTGTCTTCATCGGTGTAAGGCCATTGCCGGCTCTGGTGCTGATATCACATTACTATCACCCAAAGACGCCAA